CCTGGCAGTCCATGGTACATTCAGTACCCTTCTCCAGCACCACAGCTCAAAAGCATCCACTCTCCTTCTGTCCTCCCTAGTCATTGTCCAACTCTCTGGTGCATAATAAGCGATTGCAAATACCATGGCCTGTATCAGACACACCTTAGTCTGCATTGGAAAAAAGAAAATAATTTTTTTTCTCTTTTTTACTATATTAAAGGGTAATACTATTTGTTTACATTCCATCATTTCAAGGAGCTCTTGTGGCACAGAGCACTTCTTTTTGGTCTGATAAATGAAAGATTGATAGTTTAAATCCACCGGTTACTCTGCAGGAGAAAAATAGGAAGTCTCCTCTAGTAAACATTGACAACCTCTGAAAGCCAATGAATGGAAAATCTCTCTGAGTTGAAATAAACTCAGGTCAGTGAGATTTTTATTGACCTTTGCCTAAGATAGAGCAGGAGTTCCTTGACAGACTGCCTTTCTAAATACAACTCCATGAAATCCAAGTAAGACATAGGAGATGATGAAATAAAAGTCTCTTCTAAGCTCCTACCAGCATTTTTATATATAAAAAAAATGATGTAGACGTTTCCAACATTAGGTGTAAATCTTCAATCTATTGTACAGGAATTTGATGCTAAATGATCAGGTTTCTGGGTCGCCTTGACAATTTGAGGGAGCCACAAATTTATTCCTCATTTTTATAATCAGTCTTTAACAAAGATGCTGGATTCCCCACTCCCCCTTATCATTCAGCTTCAACATCTTTCAATTCTACCCCACTCTCATCTTTCTCTAAGCACACCCCCTTCCATGGTGGTAAAAGGAGTAGTTTTATTATTTGTTATCTAGTAAGTTCCTTCTTTGGAATTTTTAGACTTGGAATCAAAAGAGGCAAGTACATTTTTATGGGGATCAAATCTTTTGACAGCAATATTCCTCCAATTTAGAGAAAGCCAGCTTTAGAATAAAATTGAAAATTATAGAAAGACATTATGTAGAGAGGATCAAGAAAAGAGAGAATGTCATCTTTTTCATCCTTTGATGTGCAGTATTTCTATCTTATTTCACTTTAAATTCTAGTATCAACACTACTAAAAGATTAGAGGGGGTTTGATACAAAAGCCAAGTAAGAATATTGGTAACTGTAATTCAAAAGAATATTAAATTAATATAAAACCAAATTCAAATTAAAGTCATTCTTTGAATTTTTATCCTTAAAAAATTAATATGCTAATATTCCAAAAGTTTAAAAAAGTGTATATATAATATATATATCCATCTATACACATATATTTCACAAATCAAAATTCCTTTCTGACATTTTTTTCTAAAACTTTATGAAAAAAAGATATTTTGTCCCTAATATTCTTCATAATTTAGCTTTTTATCTTTAAGCATCTAAGAAAGCATTTGTATGGTTATTTGAGTGAAATCTAACAGGTAATTGCATTATTGAATATTCTTAATTATATCTTCCAAGTCAAAAGTCAATGTCATTCAACAGTGACATTCAAGACTTCCTTAAAAATACATGACTAAACATCAAGAAGACAAAAATCCTCACCACTTGACTAACAGTTAATGTCATGATACATGGAGAAAAGATTGAAACTGTCAACAAACTCATCTTACTTAGATCCACAATCAATACCCTTCGTATCTGTAGTAAAAAGATAAGGAGAAATATTGCAGTGGGCAAGTCTGCTGTCAGACTTCTCAAAAATACTAAGGAGCAATGATGTCAGTTTGAAGACTAAGGTGTACCTTTTTCTGGCCGTGGTTTTTAATCAAGTGCTGATACCATGGACTGCTAGGAGAACAAACAGGTTTGTCTGTGAAGCCCGACTGTTCCCTGGAGTCAAGGATTATGAAGCTTCATCTGACATACTTTGGGCATGTTGCAAGGAGGGACTGGTCCTTGGAGAGGGACATCATGTTTGGGAGAGTGGAGGGACGGCGAAGGAGAGGAAGACCCTCGATGAGATGGATCAATTCTGTGAGTGGAGTGGTGGGAATGAATGTGTTTGAGATGGCAAAGTTGGCACAGAATAGAACAGCATTTAGGGCTCTTGTACATAGGGTCGCTAGGAGTCGCAAATGACTCGATGGCATATAACAACAAGATCTAACATCTGCAAGTTAGACAATTAATAAGGTGACAGAAGAATTGATGCCTTGAATTGGAGAAGAGCACTGAATATCTCATGAACTTGGGGCGGGGGGAAGTAAATAGATATATCTTGGCAAAATGCAGCCAAAGCACTCCTTGGAGGCAAAATGATGAAACTTGATCTCACGTATTTGGGACATGTTGTTAGCAGAAGCTGTTCCTTGGAGAAGGACACCATGTTTCAAAAGGTGGAGAGTCAGTGAAAAAGAAGAAGACCTTAAAGGAAATGGGTTGGCACAGTGAATGCAACAATGGGCTCAAGTGTGTCAGACAGGGTGAGGATGGCAGAGATGGGATAGGATTCAGATCTGTAGTTCATAGGATCTCTATGAGTCAAACTCAGTGTGGTGGCAACTAACATAATAATACCCTAGGCATGAGTCCTAGTGAGTAAGGATTTGTGCTACCAACCCAAATGCAAGCAGTTTGAATCCACCAGGTACTCTGAGGAAAAACAATGGACAATCTCCTCCTATGTGATTTACAGCCTTTGAAAACCCCCTGGAGGGTAAGCTGCAAACTGATTCCAACTGAAGACAATGAACTATGGAGTTAAATAAGCCCCTAATTATATTAAAAGGATATCTGTGTCATTATCTATAGTAGAATGGAAAGCTTCCTTAGAATAATATTAACCCTGAAAACATGACTTTAAAAATATATGCATGAAATTTCCAGGATTTTACAAGCTCTTTCCCCCTGGTGGTTTAGTGGTAAAGAATTACACCAACAACCTCAAAAAAAGCACATGGTTTGAATCCACCGCAGCAGAAAGATGGACCATCTTCTCATATGTGATCTGTTGCATTTCAAAGCGTACTAGAAGGAAGTTCAGCTGTAAGTCAGTTCTGACTGTGGTTTACAAAAACAACATCCCCTCCTACTGGCTTCTTGCATCTCCAAAGATCTTTTGCAACAGAGCACTTCTCTGCCATGCAAATTCTTGTGTATCCATCCAGTAATTAATTTGTTGTGCTACACTATCTCCTATCTCATATTCGTCTCATTTTTTTCTTGCTCCTTCACATTCCTTCAAACTCATTACACTATAAGCAGCATCAAAAGCACCCTTACTGCTGCCATCATCATTATCATCATATTGCGAATCATCAGAGCCAAGTCTTGGCCCTGTACTAACCTCAGAGTTCCACTGAAGGCACAAGCCACAAAGAGCCCTGGCAGCCCTGGCATCGTAGCAAATATTTCCATGACAAAGTAAGGCATCAGCTGAAAAGGAGGAAGAAAAGAGAATGAATAGTCATCAATAGTGTCTGAAATGTAAGGATGTAGCTTAGTAAGAACAGGACATAGGCAAAAGTAATAATCAAATCCAAATAACTAGAGCTTGCACGGACTAAGCTTGCTCGATGCTAGCAGTTGAGGTGACAGCTAATTCACTTTAGTGGACTCGAGGTACACCTGTGGGAGAGGAAAACATTCTGTACCTTGTTCATGTTTGTAGTGTGTGCCATTTCCTTACTTATGTTAATGATAATAACTAAATCCTTAATACCCTAAAACCAAATCTTTAAAATATTCCCTCCTTGAAACTAACTAGTGTCGTCCTACTTTTTAACCAGAATATAGAAAAAGATTCCACTAAGATAGACCAGCGTTATTGACGATATATGGGAAATGGGATGGTATTGGCATTTTTCCTCATTGATACATTACCACAACTGAACATTTTCAAACATGTGTAAGCAGTAAGACACGATGCTGTTTAAGCTATCTGGAGAAAGTGTGGGGGGAAACCCAGTATGGAAACAAGGATATTTTTTTCAGTGATATTTTAAAGCATCGTTATTTTGCAATGGTCATGAAAATAAGTCAAAAGCTTGTATGGACATCTCAAGACATAGGTCTGAGCCTATTCTCATTCACCCTTCCTTTGCTTTTCATTTGGACATTGTCTTCAGAAACTTGTTCAGTGGCCTTTTTGCAAGTGTTCACTTCTCATATTAAACATGTGCAGAATGATGTCATTTAAGAATAGAAGATTAATTAAGTCCTTGGCATTTGGAAAGTGGCTGCTGCCCAATATCATCTGACTGGAAATAAGCTCAAGTCAAGGAACCCATACCTGGTCTGGGGCTGAGATAATTCCGGAAGTCCAAGGGTCACAGTCTCTGAAGTGAGAGTACATGATCAATCCAGAGAAGACAGCACATATAAGGATGATCCACAGACCCAGCAAGTTAAAGTACAGTGCACTGGAAAAGAGCACATGAGCGTACTGATAACCTCTATGTTACATTACGGTGGGCTAAGTTCACGGAAAAAACTTGGAGATAACATTTGATTTTGTTTAAGGGGATGATGGGATTTTGCAGGCAATCATTTACTCACAAATGATACTCAATAAAATTCTTATTACATTTTATGCTGTTACTGTTTATTTTAAGAATATTTTATGTATTTAAGCCTCCTCCTATCAAATTAGAAAAAAATATATCTCCTAGATGTATTTTCTTTTGATAGTGTGAAGTTTTTCTAAAGTTCGAATAATTTTGATATGAGTTCTATTCCCCTGGGTAAAATTTACAGCTAATCACACATTACATAATGTTAAGTGATCTCCTTCCCTATGAATGAATTAATGAAATTGTAAAAAAAATATTCAAGTTATGAAATCATTGCTCCTTAGTGCTACATAGTGTTTATTCCACTGTGTGAATGTACCATAATTTCTCAATCAATTCTTTTGTTGATGGACATTTGGGCTGCTTCCATATTTTTTGCTAGTATGAATAATGCATAAATGTGTGAAAAACAATGTATAAAGATGGAACAATGTATAAGAACTGTATATGCACACTAATATCACATACAAGCAAAATTCTACTGAAGATTATCTAATAATGATTGGACTGGTACATTGACAGAAAACTACTACGAGATATATAAGCTAGGTTTAGAAGAGGCTGTGGTACTAGAGACATTATCACCAATGTAGAAGGATCTTGGCAGACCATAAAGAGTACCAGAGGAATGTCTATCTGGTTTCATTAACTATGCAAAGGCATTTGACTGTCTGCATCACAACAAATTGTTCCTTAACCTTGAGGAGTATGGGAACCCCAGAACACTGATTGGGCTCATGCAAAATCTATACTAGAGTCAGGAAGCAGTCGTCAGAACAGAGCAAGGAAACACTGCATGGTTCAAAATCAGGGATGTATCTGTCTCCATATCTTTTCAATCTATATGAAAAACAGATAATTTGATAGGCTAGACTTCATGAGGAGGAATATGGCATCAGAATTGGAGGAAAACTCATCAACAATCTATGTTATGCTGATGACACAATCTTCCTTGCTAAAACTGAGGAAGACCTGAAGCACTTGCTGCAGTAGGTCAATAACTGTCGTCTTCAATATTGACTGAAACTCAACATCAAGACAAAGATTCTCACCAATGGGTTAATTGGCAGCACCATGATAGATGGAGAAGAGTTTGAGATTATTAACAATTATAGCTTACTTGGTTCCACAATCAACACTCTTGGCACCAGGAAATAAAAGATGAATTGCACTGGGGAAAATCTGCTGTCAGGTATCTCTACAGAGAACTGAAAAGCAATGATGTCATTCTAGAGACTAAGGTGTGCCTGATCCAGGCCATGGTCTTCCCAATTACTTGCTATGCATCAGAGAGCTGGACTATGACTAAGAATGACAGAAGAATTGATGTTGAGTTGTGGTGCTGGAAGGGTCTTGAACATATCATGGACTACCAAGAAAACAAATATGTCTGTCTTGGAAAGGATGAAACCAAGTTTATCCTTGGAGGGTAGAATTTTGAAGCTTCATCGCACATACTTTGGACACATGGCCAGGATAGACCAGTCTTAGGAGAAGGACAACATGCTCAGAAGGGAAGAGGGACAGTGCAGGAGAGGAAGACCCCAGATGAGATGGATAAAAACAGTAACTGTGGCAATGGGGGTAGGTGTGTCAGAGTCAGTGATACTGGCTCAGGACAGGGCAGGCTTCAAAGCTATTTTACATAGGGTCACTATGAGTTGCAGGGAACTTGTTGGCACATAACGACACCAGAAACAATGTAAAATTTAAAAAGTTGTAAAAAATAAAAGTCATTACATTTTAGCATTACATTTTAACATCTTTTCTTCCAAAGTAATAATGAGTTAGATGCAGAAGTTGACAAATTTTGAAAATATTTACTTTGAAAATCAATTCAGATCAAAGTCAAAGTTTAATTTTTAAAAGTTAATAGAATTGAATATAGATAAAATAATTCTATCTATATATTTGAAGCAAATAATTTTATTATACCCCAGATAGATATATTTAATCTAATTTAGGTTGCTTTTTCAGTAGGTTCTGGTTATTTTTATATTCATTATTTCCCTAAAGAGAAAAATTCTTATTAAATTTTATAGTCCCAGGGTAGAGTTGAAGGTGACTTGGTTTTATATCTTTGGTTTGAAGGAATAGGCATCTCTTAGCAATGCAATGACCAATGTAATCTCCTTGCAGAAAGAGTTATAAGGATGCAGGAGAGCTACATTGGGGCTTTTCTTGAACCCAATTATTATTTAAAGGGAGTCATTTAGGATTCAGATACTTCTTTTTTTAAATGGAAGGGCATGGATTTGAAAGGTGCTCAAAATACTGCACTAAAAATTCTGAAATCAAAGTCTTCCTCTATGAATTGCATCATTTAGACAATTATCCCATTAGCAAATAATTCCATTTTTACATATTACAATTAAGAATATTCTCAGAAGTAACTATATTTTCATTAACCAACTCTAAGGGAACAGTTTAACTTATCATTTATTTTTGTTAGGAATGGGCCATTATAAATGTAGTCCTTTGGACATAAAAGTACTATGTAAAATGATTAATATTGACAACTTCTTTAGTTGTAATGATGTGTCTCCTCACGTGGCCTCCTTAAAAACCATTATAGAAAAGAGTTACTCATTAGTCTTTGACATCGTTATAGCAGTTATTATTATCTGAATTTGTGTATTAAGGTGATTGCTATCTGTTTCCCCCTCAGACAAACTCAGTGCTGTTATCTTTAAGGTCTAGATTAGTATTGCACTAGTTTCACTGAAATCTAGACAATGAATAAAATGACAGAGGAATTGATCAGCATTTAAGTTGTGGTGCTGGAGAAAAGTTTTGAACAATGGACTATCAAGAGAACAAATAGGTCTATCCTGAAGAGTGTGAAACAAGTTTGAACCTTGAAGGCAAGAATTTTAACACTCTGCTTCACATATTTTGGCATATCACCAAGAGGGACCAGTCCTTGGAGAAAGATATCATGCTTGGAATGATAGAGGGTCAGCTCAGAAGACGAAGACCCTGGATGAAATAGATTGACACAATGACTGTGGCAATGCAGTCAAGTGTGTCAGACGGTGAGATTGGTTCAGGATAGGGCAAGGTTAGAGCCATTGTTCATAGGGTCGGTATGAGTCATAGTCAACTTGATGGCACAGAACAACAGTTTTGGTGTTATTATTAAGTGTTGTCCCATTGAATACAACTCATAGCAACCCTATAAGCAACAGATTGAAATCTTGTCCTATCCTGCACTATCCTCACAATATCTACCATGTTCAAGCTCACTGTTATACTTAATATAACATCATCATCATCATAAATCATCTTGTTGATGGTCTTCTCTTTCTCTGAATTTACACTTTTTAAAACATGTTGTCTTTTTCCAAGGACAAGTTCATCCTGACTTCTTACATAAAGGTTTTACCATCCTTGCCTCTGTGGTAGCCTGATTGTACTTCTTCCAAGAAAAACTTATTTGTAGTAGATGCAGATAAAATGATATTGTTGCCATTTTAATCTTCTCTCCATCAAGATGTTGCCTGTTTGTTCAGCCATGAGGAGCTTTTGTTTTCTTAAGGTTGAAATGTAACCCATATCAAAGACTTGTAGTCTTTGATCTTCTTCAGTAAATGCTTCAAGTCCTCTTGACTTTCTCCAAGCAAGGTCTTGCCATCTGCACAATACAGGTTGTTGATAAGTCTTCCTTTTTAACTGATGCCACCTTTGTCTTCAGAGAGTCCAGCTTCTGAGTTGATTTGCTCCTTATACAAATTGAGTAGATATGGAGAAAGGATACAACCCTGAGGTAAACCATCAAGTGTCCCCTTGTTCTGTTTGTGCAGATGCTTCTTGGTTTAATATAGATTTCACATGAACATGACTAAGTGTTCTTGAATTCCCATTCTGCTCAATGTTATCCACAATTTGTTATTATTTGTTTTTTTCTTAAGCAGAAGGAACTTAACATGGAGTAGATATAAAATAATTTTTATTCTGGGTAAGAAATTGAGTCAATAAATGATAAAAATATATCACAATACATCTGTACTCTTCAAAAACACCTCCCCCTTGTTTTACCTAAAAATGAATTTAGAGTTAGAAGATTTTATTATTAATATTGCCTGGGAATAATTTATAGATAACCATTTTTATTATCTATAAAAATAATACACATACATGTCCTCTTCTTTGTTTAGTATAAGGCTAGTTTTGTGGCCTAAAATGTCAATCCCTTGCTGCTGTCCAGTGGCCATCCTGTCTGCCATTGTGTGTTTTTGAAACAACTCTACGAAATGTCTTAACTAATTTCTCACTCTAAATTCTATTAACTATAATTCCCTCAGGAAAATATTTTCTAAAAAATTTTGTTGCATATTTTTGTGTGTTTTCACAAGATTTTTACAGGTTTAGACCTTGCAGAGAAGTAGGGATAGGTGAGGAAAATGATAGATATTGTTTTGAGTCACTGTTGAATTAGACACAGAGAGAGGCCATGTGTCTCTCTCTTACAGCTCAAAATCACCAGCTGCTCCTTAGAAGAAGGCAATCTCCTCCTGTTGAAATGTACAGCAGCAGAAACCCAACAGAGGAGAAGGATTGCAAAGAACAGACATGATGGCCATGTTAGAGAATTTGTGTGTGTTTAAGTTTGAAACTCCCGACAGAGTACTACACCACCAGAGTGCTCATCAATACAGCATCATGTCAGGCCTCTGGATGTCTCGTGTTTAGTTACTAATCTAAAAGTTGGTGATAGGAACCTACCTAGCGGAAGAAAAACCTGGTGATCTTACAGAAGGCTAATATTCAAGACAGTCCTATAGAGCATTTTCACTGTGCAGTGCATGAAATTGCCCTGAGTTAGCATCAACTCAACAGCTAAAAGTTTAGTTTTATATACATGTGCCAATATGCACACACAGTCAGAAAGATATAATTGTTCAGTAAATTACAGAGAAAACTTAGAAGTACATCTGGTATAATAACTCACAGCTTAGCATGCTTTTCTGTTTTGCAGGAAATGCATCGTTGGATTGTTGACTGATTAACTCCATAGATCCCGAGCCATGTGAAAGTTCCCCCTACTGAGATTGTCCAAAAGGTATGCCTTCTGAGAGGATCTACATCAAAGCTGAGGTGGAGAGAAGTGAACAAAAAAAGACCAGGTATTATTTTAGGTGATAAAGTAATTCTGCTAAATCTTTATGAAGCATACAAAAAAAAGTGTGGGGCATACTCAAGTATGTGCAGTCGAGATCCATTCGTTGCTGTCTCGAACACATTGTGTAACCCACCAGCATGAGATGATCCTTGAATGAGAACTGTTAAGTAGCCCACAACCATGACAACCATCTGAAATGCATCCGTCCATACCACTGCTTTTAATCCTCCCTGAATTGGAGAAAATGAGTGTTAATTCTTGAAAGCTGCAACTCTTTCAACTCTCTATTAATCTTACCATTCCCTCATTCAGCAACCATCACTGAGTAGCTACTACGTAGCTAGGTACTATATAACAAATAGGGATAAAATAATAATTAAAAAACATAGATGCTCCTCTTAACATCACAGAGTTTACAGTCTATGGAAGAAGCTAACACTGGACACCATTGCAGCAGCTTAACTGTTTTGGGAGCCCAGTGGTATGGTTCATAGCATGCTGGGGTGTTCATCTGTTTGAAGATTAAGTTTACCAGTTTCTCCATGGGAGAAAGATGGGCAGTCTCCTCTCATAAAGATTACAACCTCAGAAAGTTGACAGATGAGTTGGAACTAATTCGTCAGCAGTGGATTTAGATTATAGCTGTTCATTTAAAGTATGGGACGTGCCACTAAGAAGGAGATTCTATGGGAGATCCTAGCAGAAAGTCCATCTTTGCACTGTGTAGTTGCTGGAAGTTCGAATCACTGATCTTCCGGTTCTCTTTCTCATAGCTGTCAAATTAAACCTTACTCGAAGCTGACCCTCCAGCAGATTTTCAGAGGCCATAATTCACATGGAGGGGGAGGATTCCCATTTCTTCCTTTAAACAGTTGATGGATTAAATCTGCTCATATTTGTGGTGGCAGTGAAACTCTATCCACTGCGCCACCAAAGCTCCCTAACTATCTAGTTAGTAGACCTCAGTGGAAAAATTAAGACCTTAATGGTGAGATTGTGAAATGAGCGAAGCAAAGTTTTAAAATTTTTGATCTAAAAGGAAAACTCAGGCTAGGGAGCCGCGGTGGCCTAGTGGGTAATGAGTTATGCTGCTAACCTAAAAACACATGGTTCCAATGCATCGGCGGCTCCATGGGAGAAGGATGGGCAGTTGCCTCTCTTGTGATCTACAGCCTCTGAGAACCCACTGGAGGGTCAGTCATGAGGCAGTTCTGACTCTACGGTGTATAAAAATAGTGTGATTAGGAAAGAGGTTAGGGAAGTGGGTATTAAAACTGGTTCCCTTCACAGTCATTGGAGGAATTAAAAGAAACAACAGCAACAAGACAACAGTGTCCAAGCCCTTCCCCCAGAGATTGAGAGTTAGTCTCTTAATGTTTTTGAAAACTTGTCAGGCAATTCTAATGGGTAATCCTGCTAAGAACCAGTAAGGGGGTAAAGAGAAAAGGAAAAAGAAGCAGCTGTTATCTTTGTAATCCAATTGCAGAAGCACTAGGCACTGTGGTGAAAGTGAAATGACCAAATCAAGAGGGATTAAATGAAGTGACACTGACAAAATTGCTGAAATTACTCAGAACTATAAAAATAGAAGGTGGAGGTATTTTTAACATTGAATATGGAATTGCCATCCTTTGTCACTCCTCCAGAGTGTCAAGAACATCTGTGGAAAGATGACAGCATTCATCTATATTGTGAGAAAGAAGATGTCATTTTGATTATCCCATGATTTCCTTTGTAATTAAAATCAAAAGTCAATTTAGAAATTAAACACTAAAAGCCCTGCCAGAGGCAGTTTCTTTGAATTGTCTCTCCAAATCATGATCTCAGGAGTAATTAATTCCTTACTCCTCTAAATTGATTTTATCAGTTTTTGGTGATATGTAGAGGGGGAAAAAGAATATAGAAAATATTCATAAGCCTGAGCTTTAGTTAGATGAGGAACAAGTGAACAAACTATTTTATATTCATCAAAAATCAGCTTATACCTACCATAAAATGTCTCTGATCTGTTGTTGTTATGTACCGTCAAGTCACTTGTGACTCATAGTAACCCTGTGTACAACAGCTCTGAATCCTCCTCTATCTTGAGCCAATTTCATTGTCTCTTACACTCCTATCCCATTTACCCCAGTCATTGAGTCAGTCCTTCTCATACAGTATCTTCCTCTTTTGTGCTGTTCATCCACATTTCCAACTCCAAGGACTAGTCCTTCCTGGCAACATGACCAAAGTATGTAAGACAGAGCTTCAATATCCTTGCCTCCCAGTATGGCGCTTTCTCAAAATGTTACAACTAGAGATACCATTTGACCCAGCAATTCCACTACTGGGAATATACCCCAAAGAGATCATAACTGACATCCAAGCAGATACATGCACACCCAAGTTTATTGCGGCTTTGTTCACAATAGCAAGGAGTTGGAAACAACCTAAGTGCTCATTAACAAATGAATGGCTAGAGAAGCTGTGGTATATTCACACAATGGAATACTATGCTGCATTGAAAAACAAGGAACTCATGCAATATTATTCAAAATGGGTGACTCTGGAGGACATTATGTGAGTGAAGTATCTCAGTCACAAAAGGACAAATACTGCATGGTGCCACTGTTGTAAAACAGGACTGACCTTGGGGTTGGAGAGAGACTGAGAAAGATGGGTTAAATAATGTATACTGCATTGAAACAGATGAGGGAGAAAACTGTTTAAAAGGGATACGTAATTAGGTATTTTCGTCATGACAGGTGTCTAGAGCAAATGCTACACGGTGGAGTGGATCTGGGGGAGGGTTTGTAAAACAATGAAAGAATTTTTCTTTTGCTTTTCCAAGAGGGTAGTGTACTAGGGGGGGAGGGTTGGAAGGGGAGAAACGTGCAACAATGAATGAATGGAAATTCAAAGTCTCTGTAAATTTTTACTGAAATGAATAATAAATTTAAATAAAAAATTTTTTAAAAAGAATAGGTCCCTAGAGTTGCCTCATAAATGGTACTGGGACATTAATTAGAATAAACTCTAGAGTAGATTTAATATACACTGCTAATAAAGACCATTTAGGTGAAATAGAAAAAAAAATTCTTGCCTCCAAGGAACAGCCTGATCTCACCCTCCCTAAGACAGACCTATTTGTTCTCTTAACAGTCCACAATATGTTCAATATTCTTCTCTAGCACCACAACTAAACAGTATCAATTCTTGTATCATCCTTATTCATTGTACAGCTCTCTGATGCATAGCAAGTATTTGTAAAGGTCATGGCTAGGATCAGGCTTATGTTACACTTGGTCCCAGAGGCAGTCGTCAGAACAGAGCAAGGAAACATTGCATAGTTCAACATCAGGAAAGATATGTCAGGGATACATCCTATCCCCACACCTTTTCAATCTATATGTGAATCAGATCATGTGTGAGGCCGTACTTTACAAAGAGGAGAAAAGTGACATCAGAATTGGAGGAAGACACACCAGCAACCTGTGTTATGCAGTTGCACAACCCTGCTTGCTGAAACTGAGTAGGACCTGAGGCTTTTGCTACAAAAGATCAAGGACTGTAGCCTTCAATATGGATTGAAGCTCACCATCAAGAAAACAAAGATTTTCACCACTGAGTCAATTGGCAGCATCATCATAGACAAACTCAATCTCCTTCCTAACTATCACTGTGATGGCAGCATCATGATAGACGGGGAGGAGGTTGAGATTGTTAACAGCTCCATAATCAACACTCTTGGCCTTAGAAGTAAAAAAATCAAAAGATAAATTATAATGGCTAGGTCAGGGACCTCTCCAGAGTACTGAAGAGTATGATGTTAGTCTCTGACCTACAACTGCTTTATTTAGCAGGACTCTGTCTCTCTGTCCATGTCTGTATCTGTGTCTATCTCTCTCTCAATACACACATACAAATGACTTTTGCAGCTCTGGTATTACTTTGTCTTACCACCTGTATCTATAATGAGTCTGTGTTTTTGTTCTAACATTCACTTAAAAAGACTACAAATTTCTAGGTAAAACACTTACTGATTGTTTTCTGTAATTTCTTGTACTGGTTGTTTATGCTGTATAGCTACACAATTATAATAAAGGGATAGGATTAAAAATGAAGAGATTAAGTAAATAAACCACATTTTTGGTGAAAAAATGAAGCCTCTTGGCTGGTTAAACAGAAGAGAGCTGACACAGAAGTATGATGAGAAGAGATCAAATGCTTGAGCTGAATTCACATAATGAAAGATTTTCAACACTCATCTAGGAATTTTCAACGTAGCGTATTGTGGACAGTGATAAATGTAAAGGAAAATAGGTTACTCCGGTGCATAAAGAAATCTAATTTTAAGAAGATTGACCTAACAGAGGTATTTTGGATAGAGAGATCAAAAAGAGACTGAAAGCACTGGGTAAAGTTAAGTGAATTTTGAAGCAGAATCAAACTGACTACATCTGTGGAAAGAGATGGTGGGAAAATTCAATTTTAACAGTCAAAACAAGGCCAGGGACTGACTGTGGAACAGACCAGAAATTGCTGAAAGGCAGATTGAAGCCGAAGAAAATGAAAACAATTTCACAAGGGCCAAATATAACCTGAATATGTCTCATGTATGTTTAGAGAAAATTGGTTTTTAAAGAATACATTTCACTAATGGATAATAATGGTTGAAGACCAGAGGAGTTGTGTGATAACATCAAGGATATAATACATGAAGAATACAAAGAATTATTAAAAACATGGCAAAGAAAGCCAAGACCAAAACGATGCCAAGAGATTCTGAATTCTGCTGCTGAACTTATAGGAGCCAGTGGCCTAGTGGCGAGACACTGAGCACATGGTTTGAATCCACCAGCAGCTCCGTGGAAGATTGTTCTTTGCTTTTAAGTTGGAACCAACCCATTACTGTGGTTCATATCTATAATACACACACATCTTTATTATTACACGCTTTATTGAAATTGTATATGTGTGTCCTTGAACATGGAAAGACAAATTTATGCTTTGTATTATGACATGCTGATGAAGAAACTTGAATATGCTATAAAATTTAGAAAAATGAAAAAGGTGGTCTTGGAAAAAGAAAGCTCCTTCCTAGTAGATGACTTGTGCTTTGTACTCATTCTGATGAGCACATATTTGATTTTTAAAAGTAGAGCTGTTTAGATTTTATTGTTGAAGCTTTCTCATATATTTTAGAGATCAAGTGCTTATTTAATATGTTGTTTCCAAAGATTATTTTTTTTCACTCAGTCTGTAGGCTGTCTTTTGTCTTATAGTATGTCACTAGAACCAATTTCTACAAGTTCTTTGTAGTGGTGGTCCTTTTTAGGTGTTGATGTTTGGGATTTTTTTTGTGTGTTTGTTGGGGTTTTTATTTAGTATCTTAATTTTTTCTTGAAAGACTAAACAAAAATGTCCTGAAATATTATGAGAGATGTTAGAATGAATGCTGAACTATTATCTGAATTTCTTCCCCCCTCCGCCTTTCTTTAGTATACATGTTCCTTAAAGTTGGCAGAAAAATTACTACTTTTGTAAGTAATGTGGTATCAGTCCCTCATATTATTGTGAAACATGTTAGTTTTCAATTTCATACCCTAAGAATTTAATACATGGAAGAACCTAAGAAGTCATCTAGCTTGAATCTTATATTTTATTTTCATTCTTGAATGGAAGACACACAGTGAAAATGCTGTAGATAGTGCACCGTCAGGAGCGGTACCTCTCTGACTTATATCTGTCTGACTTCATTCATTCAATATAGATAATGTAATAGATTGTGCGTCACACAATGAAAAAGGAAGACATAATAAGTGAAGCATTTTAATTATAGTGTTGATACAGAATATTTTAATGCACCATGAAGTTCTAGAAAGGAGAAAAACTTGTCTTTTTAAAGAAGTACAGGTGGAATGTTTTCAAGAAACAAGGATGGTGAGGCTGTGTCACATAATTTGGCCATGTTATCAAGACAAACAAGTCCCTGGAGAAATACACCAAGCTTGGGAATGTTGAAAGTCAATGAAAAAACGGGAAGACCTCAGTAGTGAGTACAACAATGGGCTCAAACATAGCAACAATTGTGAGGATGGTATAGGACTGGACACTGTGTTGGTCTTTTGTACATACATAGTGTTGCTTTGAGTCAAAACCAAGTTGACTACAATAAGAATTCTTTATTCAGTATCTGAACATTTCAGTATATAAATCTTGAGGGCGCAATGTATGTTTTTTTAGTTCTAAATATCTTTTTTTCTTTTGCTTGTCTCTAATCTTCTCACACTGTAGATTTTTACTTCATAAACCTAACAACATTTACTCTGATATCAGTACACTGTATTATTTGTCAAAGATAATTTGCATCTTTCTCCCTGCACGACTTCAGCTTCTCTCAGTCACCCAGTTTAAGATAGGAATTCAAGGCTCAGTTCCTGTGTCCAAGGTTAGTAACATTGCTATTAATTAGTTTCTGTTCTCATTTTCATCCTCATCTTTCCTATCTTCCTACCATTTGCATTTTTATAGATAATGTTTTAATAATTTATATTTTGGGATTGTATTTTGGTTTTCTTTATTCTGTTATTCAGAAGTATGGTTTCCTTTGAGATCTGGAACATCTTTTACAAGTCTCATAGGATCTAAAATTGTTATTTCTAGGAACTAGTTGATCTTTTACGGGCAGGTACTTTACAGCAATTAATCAGTCATATATTGCTAGAGGTGGAAGGAGCAGAAGCTATTTTTTAACCTACGTGGGAGGATGTTCATTCCCACAAGACAATCTGTGGTAGTAAGAAGGGAACAAAGGAAATGATGGGAAGACACACTGTTGTCCAAAGATATGGAGAGATTTGCAAATGCAAAAAGATAATTAGGATATTTTCAATTGTACAACATCATACTATATGTTTAAAAGGACACATGCTTATATAGGATCCCCAAAACACTGACAATTTGCTAAATGATAAGGTTAGTCACTATATTTTTCTTTGTCCAAGAGGAAAAAGAGTCCAAAAGTCTGAAAAGAACTACTTCATAATTAAGTGGCTACTTTTAGCCTCACATGATTCCAATGAGTCAGAAGAATAAACATTTCTATTATAGAGGCTGGAAAATACTGGATGCTTAAGGAGTGTTTTTAAAAAGACTAAACAGATAATAACAATTCTGTAAGTATGTTGCCAATGCCACCCAAGTTCATTGGTTGAACACTGAAATTGTACAAAGCCAAATAGTAAATGCAATCCAGGCTTGTCCCTAAGTAGTAAGCAGAATCTCAGATTTATAAAAGCTATCCTTGGTTGCACATACGAGAAACACATAGTTTTCATCCAGTTCACAGTCAGACATAAGTGCTACCTATGACTTAAAAAACCTTTTGCCTTCACGTCTGCTCCAATTCATAATGGCCCTACAAGAAGTAGAAGAACCCTACAGAGTTTCTAAGGCTGCAACTCACTTTTTCCCTCATCCCTGTAACTCTTCAGAGAAGCCAACTGCCACATCTTTCTCCTGTGGAGTGACTGGTGGATTTAAACCAACAAAGCCAAACACTTAAACAGTGTACCGCTAGGATTCCTGTTTAAAATTGAAACCACAATTAATGAACAACTAATTTTTTTCTTCATAAATAAGATCACTATTCTCTGAAAAAGAAGGTACTTCTTTCGTTGTTTGGTTCTTTTGTTTTTCCTTAGTCATGTCCTTCTTAAGTGGTTTCCCAAATTCTTTTATTTGTTAAAACTAAAAATACTTTTGAGTGAAACAAGAGCACTTTCCTTAGGAAACCATAATAGACAAACTTCCGTATCTCTATTTAATCTTGGCATAGCAATTTATGCTATAATTAGATGCTCTGTTGTTAGAGATTTGCTCTTCTCCCATATTAGGAGGTAGAGCTAAGTACTTTCTCACAGTTAGATACCTACCAAGGTGCAGTAGAACGTGCAGACAATTCCTGTTGCATACACAGAGCCCCAGAGATCAAACCCAGTCACTATTAAAAAGGAGAAAAGCATAATAAGCTCCTCTGAGCATAATGAAAGAACCTGTATCATTGGGAAACAGTTATATTGTTATATTGGGATTCTGTAGCTTCCAGTTTTAGTTCTAAAGGTTTTCATCATAGCAAAGCTAGTGCTAATCCTTTCAACCTAAAAATTTTCCATGACTTTACATTTTTCTGTTTAAACACGTAACCCTGTTAAATTGAAGACCAACTTTTCTAGATTTTGGGTTTCATTGTAAATTTACCTTCAATTTTTTTCCTCTTGTTTTTTTTTTTCCTTCTAGAATTTTATTCTCTTGAAATAGAAATAAATCTATAAATCTTAAATTAGTAAGTCTATAAATCTTACAGCAATTATTATAAACATTTTTAATTTTACATTTATATAATCTCCATCTCTTTCATCTCAATGGAAAACAGCACTTCTTGTACATGGTTTTATTTTATGTTTGTACATATAAAACACTAAAATGTCATCATTCAGTAATGGAAAAGAAATAAAATTTATCAAACATAATTTTAAAGTTGTTTAGTGGGAAAATCAAGTAGCTAAAATATTTTCAGTGTGCAACCAACTTCCAGAGTAAGATTCCCACAGTAGTTTGGAGAACTTAACAATAAGCATTGTTGCCTCCCCAATGCCCCCAGAGGATTATCTGACCTTGATTGAGGGCTAATGCAGGAGCATACACCACCACTCCCGTGTAGAGAATCTGAGGGAGACATGGGAACAAAGTAAAATGTAAAAAGTGTGACGTGCAAAGACCTAGAAAGTTCTTTATTGAACTTAGAGTTGTATTTCCTTCAATTTGTTCACCAAACTTGAATTCACATCTACTCTATTGTGAAGTTGTTGATTACCTTAACTATTTGTACAGGGATGACCTTAACTCTGCATAACCTACATTTGGGAGAAGATCATACATGTAAAACTGTTATCAATTTTGAGACTTTAGAGCTAAATTTGGTATGTGTCTAAAGAATATCAAGATAGCTTTAAGTGTCTAATTCAGCCTTCCTCTCCCACTCATCCCACACAGGCTTGTTTCATTTGGATCTCTGCTCACTGCAGAGATTTAGAGAGTTACTCAAATTATCAGAATTGCAACATCTATATTGATGGTGATAGATGGAGTTCTCATTTTATTGCAAATTGTACCCACCCCACCCTCAATTAGAGATACGGTTCAAATAGGCAAGTCAAAGAGCATGGCTTTCCTCTATTTCCCCACGTAAACCAAACATTCAGTAAACCAAACATTCAGTCAGGGAGTAGGAGTCTTAACATTCTTCTTAGCAATATTTTTGGTTGACCTCAGTAAAACTGTTCTATGTCTTTCTCTGTGTATATGTGTGTAATTAAAAAGCTGAGGTAGTGCAATGCATAATTTGCCAGGTTCCCAACTAAAAAGACCAGTTATCCAAGCCTACCCAGGGTCTACCAGATGTTCCAAGGGAGAAAACTTGGCAGTTTTTCCCTCTAAAGATTTACATCCCCAAAAACTAGCTGGAAGAGTTGATATGTTCTTCTTGCTATGTACCATTGAGTCAGAGCCCACTCATAGTGGATCCCACGGGAGGGGGTTGCCCATCTTTCTCTGATGGAGCAGCTAAGTGCCTTATGTTGGCAGTGCAATTCCTTACCACTATTCCACCAGAACTCCCTAGGGCACCAGGGTCCTCTGTGTTGGTATGTTGTTGTTGTTGTTGTTATGTGCCATCGAGTCGCTTGCGACTCATAGCGACCCTATGTACAACAGCCCTAAATTCTGCTCTGTCCTGTGCCAATCGCACTGTCTCTGACACTCCCATCCTGATTATCCCAGTCACTGAATCAATCCACCTCATAGACGGCCTTCCCCTCCTGCGCTGTCCCTCCACCCTCCCAAGCGTGATGTCTCTCTCCAAAGATCGGTCCTTCCTTACAACATGTCCAAAGTACGTTAGACGGAGCCTCAAAATTCTTGCCTCCCAGGAGCCGCCCGGTTTAACCCTTTCTAGGACTAAATGAAGGCTGCATGCATTAGTAAGAATGAAAATATATTTTAAGAATAAAAAGTATGACTTAACATTGTTTCATTGTTGACTTTTATTCACAGTAGTCACATATAAGTGCTATTCTTATCGCTTCTCAGCCTTTGGCTAAGATCAAGTGTAGTATCTGTTCTTATCAGTTTAATAAGTGCTATTCTTGGGTGAGGTTCCCTTTACTATTATGAAAGGGAAATATGCCCTTAAAACAAAAACAAAAAAACAAACAAAAAAACCCCACAAACCAACAACAACAAAAAAACCAAAAAATACAACAACCCTGAAAGACCAGTATCCTGTAGCCCCAAATCTTCCCATATTTAAAGTGGCCCAAACTCCTTACCGTCTGCACAATATAGATGACTGTTGCTGCATAGCGAACTGGTTTGTTGAATCTTAGTTGTAAGTACTAGACAAAATAGAAAGAAAAACGTGCAGAGTCAGTTGAACTGTAGACAAGAGCTACCAAAAAAGCTCTTTTTCTCTGTATTTCTCTGAGAGGTTCACACAGGCGATTTTTATGCTGTATAGTCTTAGAAAGGATACTAGTGCTAGAAAGAATACTTTGAAAAAATATTGGGCTTCAGATTTTCAGCCCAGCATTTTCCTGTCAGACACTCTAGGGATTTTTTTAATCCACACAGCCTCCATTGGTCTTTGTGTTCTCTTCCTTGGGTTCCTGTAATCACTGCATAACTTTCTTTTAAATTCCGATATTTTATCCAGTCTATTTTATTCTTTATTCCAGGCTATTTTATCAACCACACTAACTTCGACTTTCCTAATGCAGAACCCTGACCCTGTCAATTTTTTTGCTCTGTATCTCTAAGCATACTCTATTGTCAACAAAACAAAGTGCACGTTCTTGATCTTGACATTGTAAATCCTATTTTGTCTGACTCACACTCCTCCTACCTGGAATCACGTCACTAACCCATCTGCCAGTGGTACTGTGCTAGTCTGCATGTTGCTGTGGTGCTGGAACAGGGTCACCTCTACTTCAAACACCAGCAGGCCATCCACAGTGGACAGATGTCAGCAGAGCTTCCAGCAGACTAAGAATAAAAGCATGGAGATTTACTCCAGAAAAATCAGCCCATGAAAACCTTATAATCACAACAGTGCATTGTTCAAACAGTACCTGAAAACATTTAATTTAACTCTATTATGCAGAAGGTCATCATGAGTCAGCATCAACATGATGATAACTAATAACCAAAAGAAACAACTTCACATAATCTGTTCTCCAAACAAAATGAGTGCTAATGTTCAACCAACACATTTTGTACTTTTCAGATCTTTTCTTTGTTTAGGTAGACTTTTCAATGTGAGAGAGTCCAAATTTTATTTTCACTTTTTAATAATCTCTCCAATAATAATTCAGGTCCTGTGGGAGCACTTAGTAAAATTGTTCCTGTGGAACTTACTTTCCTTCATATACTCTCCTATCTGCTTTCTTACAGGTTTCTTTGTTGTGTTTATAGATATTTCTCTCTCAGCTTCATGTGACTACTTAAGATAGTAACTTCAACAGAAGACTTTAATCTTTTCACCATTCTGAAGTTAGACATCCAAAATCAATGTCTATAATGTCTATGGGTCAAAACCAGGGTGGTAAGCCTCTGGAGACTTAAGAAGAATCTATTTCTTTTCTCTTTCCACTTAGGACTACCAACATTTCTTGCTTTCTGACTTCATCACTTGAATCTCTGCTTCTCTGGTTTTGTTGCCTTCTTCCTATGCTTCTTTCATATTTATATATGTAATTATGTTTCTTCAAATTTATTGGAATGGTCAAGAAGAGGTTCATGTCAAAGGAACTTGGTCAGCCCCATCTACAAAATTTCTGAATTTTTTATTAATTAATTTAATTAGTATATGTCATGTAAAATAACATTTGCAGGCTCCAGAGTTTAGGCCGTGGATTGTTGTGTTACTGTTGTGTACTGTCAAGTTGGAACTGACCCATCGCTGACCTCTGGTGGTTTTGCGGAGACAGTAAGTCGCACATGAAGAGGTTGTCCATCCTTCTGCAGAGCAGCTGATAGGTTTGAACCACATGCCTTTAGGATTGCAACACAGTTTCTTACCACTAGGCCACCAGAGGTCATACACTTGGTAAAGTATGAGACTTTTATTGACCAGACTTACACTTCTAAAACATGGAACTGTATCGTATTTTATTAGCATCATTGCATTCTGACGTATGATAAAAAAATATGGTGAAGTCTATATTGTCTAAGACATTATAGGGTAAAAATAACTAGGCTTCCATACATTATTTTTAGAAGACTAGACTCAAAACTAACTGGAAGGAAAAAATACATTTAAAATATAAAAAAAGACATTATAAAGACTGCCAATATTAACAAGTGTATTTACAGATAAAAATAAAGTAACCAGTGTGATTATACTACAAAGAGGGGCAACAAGGTCACCATATGTATATCAGTGTATATTGAACCTTATTTATTGATATAAATCAGAAAACAATTTCTTACGCTTTCTGGAAAATGCTAGGGTAAGGGAACTTTGACCATTAAAAATTACCAAGTAAGTGGATATATCATTTCTAATGGATTTTCTGTTGGTGGTAAATATTTCATATCTGAATTCAAGGAAAATTATTTATCTTAAAGACTAACTACTGCTTTATAGTTATTGCTAGGAGCTGCACATATGTGGTGTTCTGTGACTTAAAATTACCATTTCTTTGAAATCCTTCAGGAAATTCCTCTTGACAGAATCCTGATTCTATATTACACTAATCCACATTTTCTCACTCACTCTGCTCAACTTTTACCTTATTATTTCATGCAGGAAGAAACCTACTGTGTTTTCAAGTCCTCCTTCTTCATACTGAAAAGATTCAGTAGACAAGAGTCATACTATTGGCCAATGACAATGTAACATTAATATATAGGTATAAGAAGGCTATTATTACAGAAGTAGGAAACTCGGTAAGGACTCAGTTATCACAGAATAAAAAAATATGAAACCCTTACAAGGACAGCTTAGGCTCACATCTCACACCTCTATCAAGGTGTTTACTGCATTAAGTCTTTAAGTCTTGATTTTTGTCAAAAATGTACCGTTCTAAGGATCAAGTGCATAGTGTGTGACAATACCAAGAATGGGACCTGGAATATAATGAAAGGCTAGTTATCTTAATAGTCACTGTCTGTAGCATACATTTACAACTAAGTGGCCATAGTTTATCAGCACTCACTGTTCCAGCACATGTTGATGGCATCTTAGTGCACCTGTGGCGATTCCCTGGAGGCCTTTATCTGAGCCTTTGCACAGAACAAGTCGGAAGGCCTGGCATGTGTCCTCCTTTGAAGTTAGCCAATGACTAAATGGAGTTAGATAAAATATACTCCAGGTTCTTGGCCTCTCAAGGAGAACACCCATAAAACTTCTCTTCACTGCCTCCCAAAGTTTACCAAATCAAAAGCAAACAAATCCATGGTCACCAAGTTGATTCTGATTCACAGAGACCCCAACGGAACAGAACCATGACCCATAGGATCCGCAAGATGATAAACCTTCACAGAACAGATTGCCTCACCTTTCTCCCACAGAGTAACTGGGGGGTTCAAACAGCCAATCTTTTGATTGGCAGGAGAATTCTTTTACCCCTATGCCAAGTGAGAATGAATTCCAATTATTCACATTAATAATTTGCTTAAAATATGTCTTTCATTGATTTCCTTTTCTTAAAATATTATTGAGCACTGGTGGCCTGGTGACAAGAGGTTGCACAACAATCCCAAAGGCACGCTGTTCGAGGCCACCGGCTCCTCAGAGGGAGAAGGTTGGCCAATCTCCTAGCATGTGATTAACTGCCTCTGAAAACCTGCTGGAGGTCAGCTATGGGTCAGCTCCAACTCTATGATACACAACAACAACAACAACATATGTTATTATCCCAATTAACGATTGGGGCTTACTGGAAAAATTTGCATCTTCTCCCCTAAATGATTTTCATTTGAATCCTTGTCTCAGGATCGGCTTCTGGAGGAACCCAACTGAAGACAGTGATAATTCTAGTAAATTTTATTCAAGCTGAGACTTAAGATTAAAATTAAAAATATGTGTGCAATGAAGTGCATCCTCTTGGTGATAGGAACACTTTTCCTACAATATAAAAAAGTGAGGGTAGCCTACTGGAGGATAAAATTAATTATAATATTTACAGATTGTTCTGTATGAGGTCCCAAACCCATAAGTCACTGCATGGTTCTGAGACCATCAGAGGAGCATTACTGCTTTCATGAGTAAAGCAGAGCCCAAGTCAAAGTGCTGATCCATGTGATTGTGAGAAAATAAAAGTGTTAATTTAAGAAATTTATTTTAGAGTAGTATGCTTTCAGCATAAGGTGGTTGTTGTAATGTGCCATGGAGTCACGACTCACAGCAACCCTGTGTACAAAAGCCCTAAACCCTGCTCTATCCTGTGCCAATCTTACTGTCTCTGACACACCTACCCCCGTTACCCCAGTCACTAAATCAACCCATTTCATTGAAGGTCTTCCTTTCCTACAACTGTCCCTCCAACCTCCCAAGCATGACATCCCTCTCCAAGGACTAGTCCGAAAGTATTGAAGAGCAATTGCAATCATGTCATTGTGGAGACTATGGTGCCATGGTCTTTGCAATTACTTAGTACATGTCAGAGAGCTGGACAGTGACTAGGGATGCTAGAAGGAGAATTGATGCCTTTGAGGTGTGGTGCTGGAGAAGAGTATTGAATATGCCATGGACTTCTGCAGCATAAAGTAACTGATAAAAACTTGGTATCTGAAATGGAGAACTGCTGGGGGGGGAAGTATGAAGTACTGGCTTTGCAACTGAGCACTGAATGGAATCAACAAAAAAGCAAAGGGGAAATGGTTTCTGAAAAATGGAAGTGCATTGAAGAGACTGCAATGGGAATCTGGGGAAAGCTAATCTTTCTGTTTCATTCCACTAAATCTAATAAAACTAGGGGGACAATAGGATCCTGAGTAGTGCAAGTACTCCTAATTTAAAGGATGGTAGTTCAAATCTGTCAAAAGCCTTCACAGGATAAAGACTTTCATAAAGATGGCAGCCAAGAAAACCCAGTTGAGCTATTCTACTCTGTCATAGTCCATTTGAAGACATTTGACCTTCAATTTGTTGTTATGGTTTTAAAAAGAGAGCATAGAAAACCAAGGAGCAGCCTTTGGAACAAAATTCTGGCTGGTAGCCAAAAGACTGACAGGTCCAATCAATCCAGTGGCTCTGTATTATAGAGACGTGGTCGTCTTCCCCAAAAAAGATTATAGCATAGAAACTCGTTGGGGCTCTTCTACTTTGTCACCTGGGTCAGTATAAGCCAAAATTGACTCAAAGATATTTAACAACATAATTGGGAACAATGTGCTTTTGAAAAAAGATCTAAGACCACAGATCAAACTCCTTCAAATCTATTTTGAGCTTTGCGATTATCGCATTCTTTGATCTTAGCCTCTGACTTCTCACCTGTGAAACAAAAGACATAATTCCAACTATAATTCTAGATCTAAGCAAATGACTATGAATTTTCGTAAAACAGCACAATCATTCTCAAAAGCCAGCTATATTTTACTCTTAAGATGGAAATGTCATGTTATATTCTGCCCAAATCCCACAATAATCTATATATCTCCTAAAGATAAATCTTTGTAATTAATTCATATTCTCAATAGATTTCATTCAGACTTTTTCAGAGTATACATTGCGAATTTTATACCAAATATATTGTAGTACTACTTACTAGACTGAATTAATACTCAATGAGAAATATTTTAAGCCTGCATATATATAATCCTAAAAATATACTACATAAATTTAAAAGATAATAAAAATAAAATAATTTACTAAAAAGATATGTAATCTGTATACTCAGAAACTACACAATATCAGAGTGAACCATTATGATGAAAAATATTTCAGTGAAGAAAAGTAAGTAGTTCAAATATCCCAAGCTAAGTACAGGTAAGCAGAACGATATAAATAATGTTAAAGGGAAACACAAATAGATTGAATGTATTAGTATACGAGGTTTTTTTAAAAAAAAGGAAGGTAATAGTCTTTACTGACATGGAGAGAACATGACGGATAAGACTAATTATAAAACTCCCCAAATGGAGATGATAAAAATGTATACTGCAAATGAGCTCAGCCAAATTTATAACTTGCTGATGCGGACAATTTCCTATTCTCTGTCATGGCACAGGGAATAATGTAGCTCAGGTGACGTGTCTTCAGTGGTGAAATCACACTACTTAGTAAAACATCGAAATAATTTAGGAATTGTGGCATAACACTCACTCTCAAACTCATGACTTGAAAAGCAAGGATTTGTTCTTGTATTTCCGTAGGCAAGCTGAATGGCTTAAAAAACAACAGACTCAGCAATGTCTTCAGGAGTCCTGGTTGATTGGGAAAACCTAGGTTGTATTTATATTTTAGGGAATGCTGATGAGCTCTGGGGATGCAGACATATTACAGAAAGAAGTATAAATGTAATTATTTTCCCATATAACTATATATATATTCCTGGTGATTTCAGTAAAGCATTATATGGCCTTCAGCCTGATGACCCTCTTCTTCAGAGGGGACTTTGATGGTAGATATTTGGGATCAGATTTTTAATGGAACTATAATTTACGAACTTCTAGAAATGTATATTTTTACAAATATTTTGTTAGGTTCACATATTTGCTTAGTAGGCAAATCCAGCTTTACAATAATCCTCTGAATTCACTCAGCTTGCATTAATTTAAAATATATAGGCTCATTGTGAATCTTAACATCATGACTTACTAAGTGATGATGCATAAAGAAAATAAACATTTTTCCCAGAAACCAACTTATACTTAAATATTGCACATACAAATTCAATTTTAAAGATCTTTCTATTGATGCTTATTGCAAGGTCAAAATTCTACTGCATCATTTCCACTTATCAAAATAATTCTCATCTTCATATTGTTTAGCAATTATGTCCCATCAAAATATTTTATAATTTTTTCTTTCCTCCTTAAAAACTAGCTTAAAAACAATATGGATTAAAGTGCTCTCTGCTCTGTTGTCTGCTTGGAAAGGTCATTAAACAGAGATACACATAAAATGAGTTCTCAGTAAACTTTGTTCACTCTGTGATCTTATTTAGGTGACTTATCCGTAATTCATTTTTCTCAGCTGAAAAGTTGCAGTGGCTATAATACATATTCTATTTGCTTTTCACAATACAATGCTAACAACACCAACAACTTCAACTCACGCTATTTGAGAACCACCTACAGGTTAGACAGTACATTGGATGCTTGTATAAGGAGGTCTGGTGCCATAATCTATAGTATGTACAAAAAGGTTCTCATTTAATCCTTGAAACATTCCAATTGACTTAACATTATTATTTGCATTCTACAAATCAGAAAAAAAGTGTTTTTGTATCTAAAACTCAAGCCCAAGTTTTTGCCCAATAATATCTGATGCCTTTCCATGACACAAATTGCCCCAAATGCTAATGAACATTTTTAAACTACCTGGTATTGCCATAATTATAAGTACTGTTAGAAACAAAACCAACAATAACAGCAACAAAAAGTGCAAATGGAGAGAAAATAATAACCCCTCCCCAAACAGATAAGAAGCTGTGTATATTAGTTGTTGTTTTTTTTTTTCTTTTTTACCTCATAAGTACTGGTGATACCAGATCTGTAGAACACTGGAAGAAAGAGTTCAGATGTGAAGATGATGACGAAGGTGTATGCAATGAAGAAGAGCACGAATGATGCCCCAAAACGGTAAACCTCCGAGGGGGCCCCCAGGATAGTGACAGCAGACATGAAGCTGGCAGTTAGAGACAAGGCCACGGGGCCACAGCTCATTTGTCTCCCCCCGACCAAGAACTCCCTAGAAGTTGCCTTTTTTCTCTCTTTGATGGCAAAGAATACTCCAATTCCAGAAGAAATGACAAAGAGAGCTGCAAATACCACATAATCCAAAATCGCAAAATTCTTCACCTCCATGTTGACAAATATGTGATCAGAGGTTGGCTTCAACCAGATCTTCACATAAAGATATTTCCAGAAGCAAAGCTCAGGACAGCAGATCCTTTGCCTAGACTGTATAGTCTATGAATTCCTGAGGAAACTACTGACCAGAAGCCCTTGTCTTGATCCTGAGACACCAAGTGATTATACTCTGGGGAGTGTGACTGCAGAGAATCTGGCTGTGATAGTGAGGATATTGGGACCAGTGGATAAAGACTTGAAATCTGAGCTGTCTCTTCCTCTCTTAAGGTGCATTGCTACAGAGAAGGAACTCAAATATGTTCTGAAATTAGCAACTATTGGGGGTGGAATGGACTTGACAAATATGTTCTTTTATCTATTAGGTGGCTTTTTTTTCTCTTCCTCCAAAAGTTAAACATTACTGGGAAACAAGAAAGTAATACAAATATCCAGTTCAGCATTTTTAATTAGAGAAATAGCACCAACAAAATAAACACAAATAGAACCCAGGAGTGTCTTTCTTCTGACTAAATGAGGGTGGAAGATACATGCCCTCAACTGCCTGTGGTAGTGAATATGGAGGAAAAATTCTGACTTGCTCAAAAGAAGAATGAGTGGTGATATTCTTTGACAAATCATCCTACCTTTCTAAAATTCATCTGGAACACAGAGGATTGAGGGCGAAAGGTGGACAATCTCCTCTGGTGTAATGCATAGTCTCAAAATCCCCAGAAGGTCAGTTCCAACTCATTGGCAATGAGTTTAAATTTTGAGGGGTTTTAAGCATCTTCAACATCTGAGCTGCTTTTTCATGAATTTTTAAATGAAAGATAATTTTTACATAATTGACATTTATTTGAGTTGATCGGGGCACTTCTGAAAATAACAGTTGATTCTCTCTTGTCTGTCATTGTCCTTGATATGTTGTTGTTGTTGTTGTTGTTGTTAAGTGCCGTTGAGTCATAGACAACTCATAGAGACCCTATGAACAAAAGACCTGAACACTTGTATAACTTTGGTCATTTCTCCTTGTTCATAGAGTTTCCAGAGGCAAGCTATTTCGGAAGTGGACTCCACTCTTGCTTTCAAGCTTGTTTTAATTGGGAAACTCCACCAAACACTGTCCACCACCCTGGGTAACCATTATCACATTTGACACATCCTTGTCACAGTGTTTAGCATCACAGCAACCTCGAGTTACCTCTGTACAACAACGCACAGATCAGTGCTATACCACTTTGTAGAATGTTTGACAAAAAACAATTTAGACCAGGCCTGAGGGCCACAGATTAAAATCACCCACTTTGGACTTGGTAGCATAACTTTCTGTGGACTAGGCCAACGTAGTTCTCTCTGTGTTGCCATTGTTATAGTTGTTAAGCTCCATCAAGTCATAGACAACTCATAGCGACCCTGTGAACGAACAACCTGAACACTTGTATAACTTTGGCCATCAATATAGGAAGTTCAAATTCACTGGCAGCTCTGCAGGAGAAAGATGAGCAGTCTCTTCTTGATTGCTTTATTGACTCTAAAAATCCATTGGAGGATCAGCTAAGAGTCCGTCTAACTCAATCAACCTATCTGTAAATATCGATCTATCTTGTCAAGCATTTTTTGTGACTCTCTGCTTTCCTCAGTATGATGTCTTTTCACAAGGACTACCCCCTTCTGACCACATGTCTTTTAACAAGGACTCGTCCTTCCTGACTAGATGCCTGTTTGAGACCAAGTTTCACCATCCTTGGCTCTAAGGAGCATCCTGGTTGCATTTACTCCAAGTCAGACTTGTTTGTTCTTTTGTCAGTTCATGAGATACTATGTACTCTTCACTAACACCACAATTCAAAGGCATTTATTCTTCTGTCATCTTTATTCCTTATCTACTTTTCAGATGCATAGGAAGGAATTGAGAATATTATGGATTGGATCAGGGACACCTTAATCTTTCAACTGGTATCACTGCTATTTAGCATTTTGGAGAGGTTTTTAACAGCAGTTTTTCTTCATGCAACACATTTTTTGATTTTTTATTTTTGCTACCATGAATGTTGATTGTGGATTCTACTAGAATGAAGTTGTTGACTGATAACTTCAATATTTTCCCCATCTACCATGACGTTCCTCTAGGTCTGTTGGTATTTTTGGTTTTTAGAGTCTTTGATCTTCATTAGTCAATGCTTCAAGCCTTTTTCACTTTCTACAAACAAGTTTATCTCTTCTGCATAATGCAAGCTATTGATGAGAACTTCCTCCAATTCTGATGCCACATTTTCCTTCAGTCCAGCTTCACAAGCAGTTTACTCAGCATACAGACTGAAAAAGTATGGAAAACATTTGCAACCCTGATACACACCTTTCCTAATTTTAAACCATGCAGCATTCTTTTAATCTGTTAAGACAACTGTTTCTTGGTTAATGTATAGGTTTCACATGAGCCCAATTAAGTGTTCTGGGATTCCCAATCTTCTCAATGTTATTTATAGTTTGTTAAAATCCCAAAGTCAAATATATTTGAATAGTCATTAAAACCCAAGTAAACATCTCTTTTTATATATGTTCTGATTTCAGCCAAGATCTATTTGACATTTACCATGGTCTCTTCAGAATTCTTTTTAATAGCTGGTGTTAAATCAGTTCCTGACATAATGGTATTAGCACTCATGGTAGCCTTCAAAACCTAGTCATTCTAATTTCATTCATAGGAGCAAAATATTTCCTAATAACACACCTATGATTAGCTGGAGGGCAAGCCATTGTGATTTATAAAGATTATTGACTCATTTTCAAAGGTAGGTTGTCATATTTTTCTTTATAGACTACACTAGTCTGGAAACTCCACCCTTCAGCATCAAAGCAACATGGAAGCTTCCACTCAAAGATGGGCTGGCTGTGTGTGAGTGTATAGTTCAGGAGCAAAATGTAGATCTTCCACATGAAAGAATTCTACCACTGAACCTTGATTTCCTCTCCCTACTTGATTTGAAGCCTTAGAGAGTGGACTAGCCAATTTTTAATTTGTAGCCCCCAGCTTTTATCTAATCCTTTTCTCCTTCATTTTTTACCAGTTTACTCCATTTATCTGGAGGCACTAAGTTAGAATTAGGATTAAAAAAAAAGAGAGAGAGAGAGAGAAATCTTTGTTCTGCTCTTGTTAGATTCTCTGTTGATTGGCTTGAAACATTGCCCCCCAGCAAGTCTTTGAGAGGGAAGCCTCTTACCTTTGTAGTATTTCTTCTCTCTTGAGAGATCTTGCTCACATCAACCTCTGTGAAACCTTCCTATTCCGTGAGTTTTCTCTGCATTGGGCATCCTTCCCTCACTCTCCTCCTTCACTCCCACAGATCATGTAGGAAGTAGCCTTCCTGGGCTCTACGTTTAATGCTAACTAAAACGTCCCTGGTCTGGATCACAGGAGAAAGTTGAAGATATACAGCCTGCGAAATCTTATGGAAAGTGCAAGGGGACCCGTCCTGGGGAGGGTGAACACAGGCTGCTCCTTGGAGGCAAGGATTTGGAAGCTTCGTTTGACATACTCTGGGCACTTTGCAAGGAGGGACCAGTCATTGGAGAACAACATTATGTTTGGGAGGGAGGAGGGACAGCACAAGAGAGGAAGACCCTCGATGAGATGGATGGTCTCAGTGTCTGGGGTAATGGGTGTAGGTGTGCCAGAGACAATAAAATTGGCTGAGGATAGGTCACAGTTGAGAGTTGTTGTACATAGGTTCGCACTATAAGTCACAAGTGCTTCACTGACTCATAACTCAAATATATAAACTTAAAAAGCCCCAAATCCTCAGCTAGGAATTGCAATGTAGCTAATTTTCAATTTAGTAACTGATAGCTTTCTCTGAAATTGTAATGGGAAAAATATTTGTTCTGCCTTACAGATGCATAATAAATTTTCCCGAGGCAAAAAAAAAAGCACCAAAAGAAAGTGTCATGAATTAAAATTTATTTAATAGCACTAAATTTTATTTTACTTTTACTTTTTAAATAATATTTATGCAGGTCTGTAGGAATGGCTCAGATTGTAGCTAGTCAGTTCTTTGAAAATAAAGTGTGACCTATAATTTTCAATATATAGTAGCCATTATAGAAAATCTATTAAAAAATTTAAAAAATGTAAAAAGTTGTAAACAAAATAGGCATACTGCACAAAAAGAATTGGCTGGCACAGAAAAATTTATTGAGATAACATGACCCAGAGGCAATGGTGACTGAGATGGAATACCAAATGATATATTTCAGCAAATGGATGCTACCCTGAATGTGATCAGCTGGTTGTACCAGTAAATCTGGAGGACGACTACCTGGCCAACTGACTGGAAGAGAACCATATTTATTCCTATTCCAAAATAAGATTATCCAACAGAGTATGGAAATTAACAAACAATAACATGTATATCAAACAAAAGTAAAATCCTGCTGAAGATTATGCAAAAACAACTGAAGTAATACATGGACAGAGAACAGCTGGAAGTGCAAGCTAGGTTTAGAAGAGTCTGTGACACTAGGGACATTGTAGTCAATGTCATAAGGATCTTGGCTGAAAGTTGAGAGTACCAGAGGAAAGTCTGTGTTTCTTTGACTAAGGAAAGCCATTTGACTGTATGGATCACAACAAATTATTACTAATCTTAAGAAGATTAGTAGGAATCCCAGAACATCAGAATATGCTTATGGGAAACCTGTATTTGAACCTGGAGACAGTCATCAGAGTATAGCAAGGAAACACTACATGGTTCAGAATCAGGAAAGGAATGTATCAGGGATACGTCATGTCTCCATACCTTTTCAATGGTCTATGTAAATAATAGACCATTTAAAAGGCTGGACTTTATGAGGAGGAATGTGGCATCAGGATTAGAGGAAGACTCATCAACAACCTGCTTTATGCAGATGACACAATCTTGCTTGCCGAAACTGAAGAAGACCTAAAGAGTTTACTGCAGAAGGCCAAGGACTGCAGTCTTCACTATGGACTGTAGCTCAACATCAAGACAAACATTCTCACCA